ACAGACTCTTGATTCTTTAGTAGATGCGAAACCATATCCAGCGTTGAATTCCACCATGTGGAAACATCCTGTATGAGCGGCTCTTTCTGTTCCCCCAGTCTTGTTTGCTCCTGGTGTAGTTCCTCCATATTAGCAGGGCTGTGTTTAAAGTGACCGACTATCTTGCAACATTTTGCTAATGCAGTAAACCCACTATCAGCAAGGCTAACAGTGATGGTTCTTTGCAAGATGTGAGCAACACAAGGCATGTGTTGGAATGGGAGGTGTCTTACGGCAGCCACCATGGTTCGTGCACTGTCTGTTCCAATTGTGGTGACCTTTTGTTGAATTCCCCATTCCTCTGCCATAGCGAGAAACTGCTCAGCGAAGTTTTTGGCATAGTTTCTGGTGTTTGTCTTCCGCACAGTCAGGACTGTAGATTCCATGTGCCATCTTTGACATCAACAATATGTGCATTGACTCCCATGTAATTGGAATTACTAATGGAAGTCCACTGATTCCCAGTAGCCACAAAGTCTGCTTTCTGTAATGCATCTAATTTTTCTTGCTTTTCAGTATCATAAAGCTGTGGAACTTTACTTGAAATTGTCTTTTGACAAGGTAGTTGGAAAGTTAGATTACCTGACGTTAACTGTAGCACATTTTCTAACCTGTTATCTTCTACCACTGATAGTGGTCTACAGTCCAGAGCAATCTATTTGACTGAAACGAGTAATTTATCAAGTTTGGGCTACAGACACCTTTTCTTGGTACTCGAACTGGGACTGCTAGCACTAACACTAACCACGCTTTTATCAAGGTTTCAGTCGGGCTAGGACTGATCGGAGGCAAATGAAATGAAACGCGCTTTCTTCTGTTTCTTTGTAGCCCTAATGTGTATATCAGTCTAATCGGTATACCAGGAAATTGTGCGTTGACAAAAGTTCCCTTTTGCTTGGAATACAAAGTGTGATTAAACACGTTAAATTCCCACCCCTACTTACTATTCATCTTTGATTGAAGAAAATAAAAACAACCAAAGTGACTGGACTTTTTAAAGTTTCTTGTGATGATGCATCCGAGAAGCTTCTTCAGTTCTAAGACCAATTGGTAGAGAGTCCCAGGTATTTAAGCCCTAGTGGGAGTGGTCCCTAAGAGGATCTTTAACCACTGTTGATCATGTACATAATCACATGAAAACAGGTGGGGGTCAATATCAGCAGAGGTTTCGGATGAAACCATTGTGAAGACCTTGCCTCACCCTATCATGTGACCCATTGAATTGAAATGAAATGACAAAAGATGTGAGTGGGCGTAAAGGTGTCTGGAAAGGGATCTCAAAGCTGGATTGTAGGTGGCAGACAGTTGGTGTCGTAAACCACCCTTTCTGTACAAAGATAAATGAAATGGTAAATGGGATGTATTTGTACAGCGTTTTACTTAGTCCCTGAGGACGCCAAAGCGCTTTACACTACATTCAGTCATCCACCCATTCACACATACATTCGCATACTGGTGATGGCAGCTACATTGTAGCCACAGCTGCCCTGAGGCGCACTGACAGACGCAAGGCTGCTGGACACTGGCGCCACCGGGCCCTCTGACCACCACCAGTAGGCAACTCCTTTCCCTCCTTTCAAAACATCTTTCTGTCCAAAATGTGGACATTGTCATCCTCGAAAGAGTGACCTTTGACCTTTAGATGCAGATGGACAGCCAAATCTTGTCCTGTCGAAGTGACTCTTCTATGTTGTGCCATACATTTATGGAATGGCTGTTTGGTCTCTCCAATGTAGAGGTCTCTAGAGGTCATGCTTGGAGAATTCTCTCCTGAGTTTCTCTGATAAATCTGCTATATAGGGGCTGACAATGTTGTTCCCTTTGTCCTTCTGTTTCTCCCTAGTTGGTTATCCCAGTTGGGCTTTCATTAAATCAGCAAAGATGCACGGTAAAGAAGGTCAGACCACCATGTTATAAGAGCTTTTTTTATGTGCGCGCTCCTTAGAAGAAACTTCTTTTGGCCAGTGTTGCCCCATTTTAGCAATATAAACATACAGTACTACAGAACCCCAACACATCGAAAACTCCACTGAATTCACCAACAAGGTCCAAAAACTTATACTGGATCCAGATGAAACCAGTCTCCTTCGATGTGGTCTCTTTCTTCAGTTGCATACCTACAACTGAGCTAGTGGAGACTGTCAGAAAACGACTACAACAGGGGTGGCCAACCAGTCAGAGACCAAGAGCCACTTTTTTTTTTACTGTTACCGCAAAGAGCCACATCATACGCATGGGCACACATGAACATCACCCATCCCC